AAGCGCACCAGTAGAATTATAGAATAAGTGAAAGTAACACCTTGTCTTGGTATTGCTTTTACTGAACCTTCAGTGAGGCTGGCAAACAGCTGAAAAAAATGTAAGTTGCCAAAATGAATTTGTTTCAAAACATGAAATGGTTACTTTATTTCATTTAGGCTTCATTCTTGAAGTTTGTTGCTATATCAGCACCGCAAGGTTTCTTCTGAATGTGTTAATTATCAGTTAATAAATCATCAGTCAGCTGTTGACATGTCTTCATAAGCTGGAGAGAGAAATAGAGTGCTCTTCAGCTGAAGATACTTTATTTGACAGGGCCAGGATATATTTTAGGGTTTGGGTAGAAACAGAAAAGAGTCAGTTAATTCAAATTCCAGTCACTTCATCACCCAAGTTCTCTCACATTCCTTGAAATAGAGGAGAATCAAACCAGCTGGCAATTTTAACTAAATCCACATCTATTGTAATGATACAGTGAGGCATGGGACATAGAATTTAAAAGGCTTTAATGCTCTGTTACTGAAACAAAATAGTTTTCATTTTTCTTTTGGGAAGTGAACTCTGAGTTCACTGGTTTGATTTGCTTTTATAGGTTGGAAATACCACCATCTCCAATACTGAACTGCTGAACAAATACTGCTTTAATGCAGCTAGCCCAGTGAACCATTTATGTTTATCTCCTTCTCTTCAGTTATTAATTAGCAAAGGAATTTTATAAATCTATTCTTAGTAGTTACTGTTTTGTCTTTTCAGACTGCTTTGTAGTGTTGGTTTTTTAGGGGATTGTTAGACCTAAACCGAAGGGGTTTGACTGGACTCTTGCTGTGAAAGTAGAAGTTGAAAACTGGACTTTATTGTTTTTTTTCTTGTAGCTAAATGTGAACCATCAGTTAGAACTAGCTGGTATGAGTAAGAGATGGTAGCAGTGCTTATGGATTCTCCTTTCTCTTCCTCTGTTACTCTGTGATTAATTAAAGTGATGAGAAAAGGAAGATACTTCACATAATCCCTGGTGGATCCAAAGCTTGAACAAGTGTCCAGTTGAATATTTTATATGTTATTTTCCATAGCTGCTTTCACATTTTAAAGATGTGAATTTCAGTAAGGTATTCTAGAGTTAAATTTTTCTAACGTTTCAATTTTTTTTGCTCTTGGCTACTGTTGCCTATACATGATCACTTATTTTTTCCAACTAGCCAAACTATGGTGTTCCCAGATGAATTATTCAGACCACTTGTAGCCACATTTTTCTTTCTAAAGGGTTATGAGAGGCTGGTTCCCTTATGATGCAGTTGGTTGATCAAGCTGTCTTTAAAAGTCTTTTACCTTATAGGCAAAGAGTCCTTTCCCTAGAGTGATTCTAACACCACAAGTGACCTCATGAATTCAACATAGTGCTTTTAGTTCAGATGTGCTGTGCACGGTTTGTCCTGCTGGTGTTGGCTATCAATTCACTTTTGTTGAAGAGAATACTTGCAGATCAGTGCGGAATTTCTGTTAGCAAGCCAGGGAGGGAAAGACTGTTTCTCAGAGGCAACTATGGGCCCCAGAATCTTTCATTTGTAGGTGACCTCCATGTAAAAGAATTACTCTACAAATGTGAATACTTCAAACTAGAGTTTCAATAACACATGCCAAAAGCTGATACAAATTAATATGAGTTAGGAAAATTCAACCTTGTCTTGCTTTGTGCCTGTAAATGTTCTTTTGTGCTTTTAAGGTGTTTTCAGAATTTCTTAGAGTTGTAATTAGGGAGTGTCTGGTTTATAATTTGACTCTTTCATCAAGGAGGCAGTGAGGGGAAAAGGGTATTCTAAAATGATAATATGGCAAAGTTATTTTCTAAAAATTGAATACATTCTTATCACAGTATTATAGTAGTCAAGTTCCTGTGACTTCCCTCGTCCATTTGATCATACTTAATGAATGTTTATCTGAGTGGTGGCCAAGATAGAGATATTACTCAGAATGGGAGTGCTTCATTTGCCTTTTAGTTGTTCAAAATACAGTGAGATCAACAGAAGTGAAATCTATTTTGCTAATGTGCTCCTGAGATTAGTTCTCATTTACCAAGCTCATTGATAAGAAGTCCTTTATCTCTGTACTGCTGCAGGCTAGCCCTCTCTTGCCTAGACTGGCAGTGTCTGAGCATCAAGTAGCGTTGAGCTCTCCCTGGCTGGCTGCAGAGGTCCCTCTGGGCTGCTGTGTGTGACCTATCTGCATGCCTCTTGTCCAGTCCAAAGTTTCCAAGTGACCATGCAGGCCTTTCTCATAGACCTCAACCTGAGTTCCACTTTGTTAATGTTGGTATGGAAGGCTTTTCTTTTTTTTTTAAAATGCTAATCAGTGTAGTGGAGTTGGGCTTACAGTCTAGTGCACAAACCTGCCTTTTTCTTTTAGACTCAGAAAGTGTCTCAATTGATTCATAAAGGTTCAGGTCTCCTTTGAACTCATGTAACCTCCTTGAGTTTGGAAAATTTTAACTTTTTTTTTATTCTTTGAGGGCTATTTCTTTATAATGCACTCAGCTATAAGAAAAGAGGGTTGCTTCACAGTATTTTGTGTTTGTATTGATGATGCTAAGAAGTATACTGTGTGTAGGTGGTCACAGATGCAAGGTGTTGAGTGGGAGGGCTCCTGGAAAGATGTTGGAGTATTGATCTGTTGGCAGGCAGAAGAGCTGGACTGATGACCAAGTAGCACACTGACCTACTTTGGGGAGAGATGTCATTCCCTACAAAGAGTCCATAGCAAGACAAGGATTTATTTTAAATTTTGTCTCCTTTTCTTTTCTTCTGTTCTGCCTTACTCTCTATTTTAAAAAATATATTCCTGTTTATCTTCCATGTCCTACTAGAACTGGCTTTCAGTTTAAAAGCTTTCATGGTGGTTTTGATCACTAGCTCAAAGCTGTTGCTGTCTTTGGATCCCATTTAGAATTTCTGTTTTTAGAAATTTTCCTGGCAATTTTTAGGCTTGAACAAAATCAAGACCACTTGTCACTATAATTGACTACTTATGAATAAAGCACAGTATCTGTCTAATCGGAATCAAACCCAGTTGAATTCAATCTTGAATTAGAACTAGATCTTCAAATTAATGTACAGTATAACTGAGAGGTATATAGAAACAGAAAAAATTGTGTAAAAAAGATAAATTATTGTAAATTGGAAATCAAAATATTTCTTCACTAATTTATTTTTTTTAATCCAGTTTTGGGTATCATTAAGAATTTCAATACAGAAATAAAATTATTATCTCATATTTGAATCAAGTAATGCAAGTCTTGCTTTCTTCTTAGACATGAATATTTAATAGAGACCAGGTGACCATCCTTTCATTTATGCTCAGCTCTCCAAAGTTAGGTTGGTGTTTTGCAGACTTCATAATTTTAACAAATTTAGTTCACAGTCAACCAGAGGAAATAATCCTAAACTTTGCTGGCATAGAATGCTTTTTACTAAGCATTTTTATGAAGCTTATTAGAGGGGTTTGTAGTTTGGTTTTCTCCCTGGTTTCTGCTATTTGGAGCCTTGTTGATATTTGAAGTTGTTCACCAGCTGCAGTTTCATATACTGAAAATAAAATAAGTTAGGATATCTCCCAGACAAGGAAGCAACCACCACCCCTTCCCCTGTGATGGTATTGTACTGCTGAAAATGTCAGAGTTGAGTTTTCTGGAAGCCTTGCAGTTTTCTGCAACCTGGCTGAGTTGGCTTTGGAAAATTGTGATCATTTCCTGGCTGAGTGCTTTTACTTGATCAGTCTTCAGATAAAGGAAGAGTCTCATCAAAGGCAGATGTTTTCCATCAGTTTTACTTGTACACTTCTTTCTATAAAGGGAAGAGGCACAAAGTGTTTGGCTTAGGTCTTTACATTCAGTGTGCAGCCAGCTGCAGGTGCTTGACAGTACTACTAAATAATCTTCACAGTTTGGGGATTGTGGCCTCTCAGCAAATCTAGTCATTAGAATTTCTCCAAAAAAAAATCAAAACCAAAAAAGGAGGGTAGGCTGGGGTGATGCCAGAGAATCAATATCTATGTGTCTAAAGAAACTTTGAATATCAGTCTGCAATTATTTTTGAGAGAGAGATAGGAAGAATGTGAGGGAGTTAGTGAGGGAAAAAAGGAGAGAAAGAGAAAAGGAAGAGAAAAAGGAAAAGGAAAAGAGGTTCAGTATTGCTCTGTTATTTAATAATTTAATTTTATACTATTATTTAACAGTATACCCTGTTATTTAATGACAGGTCATACATCTCTCATTGGATTTAGCTCCTGAAATAAAATGATTTTGTAAATTTCTGTTTGGTTTTTTTTTTCCTGAAAAGTTAATTTCAGCACTAATAATTGGAGAGACATTGAAAATCTGTTTTGAATACAAATTTATATTTTGCAAATGAGAAGAGGAATAGTAACCCAAAATGTGTTTTTCAAGTGCCAGTGTCATAAGTTTTGGGAAAAGTTATTGTTTGTTTGTTTTTTAAAGCATTGGCATTCAGCAGTTCAGAAAATATGATAAAACTAACAGTGACAAAGGAATATTAAAATTGTTGTAAAATTGTAGGAGAAAGGAAAAAGATTATTCTGTTATGAAGTCATTCTGTGTTGTTATAAGCTAATTTTTGTAGATGGATATACAAGATGTTTTTTGCTTTATGTGCTGCTCCCCTGGAAAGCATAAAAATGAATGTTTAAAAAAAGTTTCTTAGTATTTCTGAGTAAAGTATATATGTTGGTTAGATGTCCTGGTGTAATTCCAACTGGGAAATTACATTTCCAGCCCAACATAGGCAAAAAAAAAAGAAGTTTTTTTAACTTTTAAAACTTTACTTTTAAAAATACACTTAGTTTCCAGGACACTCCACCTTTCAGCAACTGTTCAGTTGCTTGCAACTAGAAAATTAAACAGCCCTGTATTGTTAAATTGTTATATTCCATTACTGAATATATGATTACAAGATAATACATTCTGACCATGTCTTTTTTTACCCTTTCTTCAGTGAAAAGGCAGAATCTGAAAGTTCAGATCAATGCAACAGATGACACCGTTTGCATGAGATACCTTCGACCAAGTCAGAACACCAAACTAGAAGGTTTTGTACTGGGTTATGGGAGCAACTTCTTCTCTAATCAGTACATTCCTTTACCTTCGGAAGGAAAACCCTACATAACAGAACTTGGTAAGGCATATTTGCTTTTCATGCTACTGTTGTCAAGAATTGTGGGAAAGGAGTGAGGAAAATATAAACCTTTGGGTTTCTTAATTTTTGTTTTTATTCAGTTGTTGCACAGCGTTTCTTTGAGTTTGATTAAGGTTGGCTGGGAGAATTTCAGATTAAAGTGGAATCAAGAGATATTTCACGGAGAACAAGAAGTTCTTGTTGTTTGAAAAAGTTTGCTACTGGTATTTGTTTTGATAGTTTTCGTTCTACTAAGAGATTGTACTATATTGACAGGACAAATGGGATTATTTGCCTAAAGTTGCAGTTATAAAGTAGAATGCAAAGGAGAAGTGCATAACACATGGTACAAGAAGCAATGAAACAGTTTTGGGAACTGCGTGGTTGATTCCCCTTGCTAGAAATGTTCATACCAAAATTATGCCTTTTCTGGCAGAGGCCTATTTCACTTTTAAATGTTGTAGAATAACCTATCATTTCTATGTCAGGAGTTATGGATGAAATTCTTTGAGCTGTACGGAAGAGATTGAACCACATCAAGAATGTTATATCCTGTTGCTTGGGATAGGAAGGGAAAAGGGAATTTGTTTGCCTCTTTGACATGAGGTTATGTCAGCATGGGCAGGGTAGCAAAATAATAGAACTGGATTAGTTAGAATTGTCTGATGAATGATTAAAACTGACTTATCAGGATTCGATCTTTTAAGAAACCTGTTCAATCTCTGAGGATTTTTCTGCTGCTTTCTTTAGTCTTTTCTAGCCTTAAATGAATCTGGGTTACCCTCATCATTGTAATGCCAGTGATCTTGGTGTAAAACAAGGTGGAAGAAGGGATGCACAAGGATAGAAGTAACAAATGCTATCTTTTTTATGTGGTCAGTTACGGCAGTTCTGGAGGCTGAAAACTGCAGAATAAAAAAGAATAAATAAGATGTTAGACATAGAATAATTAAGATATTAGAGACTTCCATTAAATCACCGTAGGCTGACTTTTTGCTTCTTGTGAGTTTGTACTCCTGGGATCTCTCTGTAATTCTATCACCAGTCTGGTGTTTGAGTTCATAACTGTCACTTGAGCTGTGTTTGATTTACCTGATTTATCCCATGTGTAACTTTTTAATGAGTTCACCAAGAATGGAGTACAGGATTTTCTGTAGAATACTGTGAATTGGGCATAAGTAACACCTGACTAGTTTTATTTCAGGAGTAGTGGGGATTAATATTTTCCTCTGAAATTCTTGTAAAGAGGAAAAAGCACTGAATGTAATGTCGTGTGCAGATCATTTGCACTTCCTATTTAATAGTTTTATTAACTACTGCTTTGTGAAACTGTATGAAAGCAGAAAGCTGAATGTCACCTGGAACATAAGGAATTTTGATATTTTGTAACTTTAACATTAATAGCTAAAGATTGGAAACTGTAGACAGCTTTCTTTAGTTCTGCAGTGCATCAGAGTGCTAGCCATATGCATATTTATTAAAGGTTGCTGTTAAGCAACCAAAATCTTGTAGCAAAGAATGCAGAAGATGAGAAAACCCACAATGCATACAGCCTGTAATGAAATGGACACATTTTCTCTAGTATATCTGGAGAGGGGAAGGCCCGAGTATTGGGGAAAACTCTCCTTTTCCTTTTTAATTGTTTTAAAGAAGAATAACTTAAAAATTTTAAATCATTCATGCTAATAAAAGTTGTCAGTCAGATTCCTAGTGGCAAAGAATGTATGATTGTGACTTCTGTCATGCAATGTGAATCATAATATAGATAGAAAGACTAGCATTTCCAGCTTTAAGAAAATGTCATCTTTGAAACGACAGGAATAAAAGAAGCTAACAGCAATTGGTACTTTAAGTTGCAAGCATTTATTTAAGGCAATTAACAGTACAATTATTGGAGCCATTGCTTTGAGTTAAGAGGTTTAGGGTTAGATTATATGCTTTGTGCACTCATTTATTGGAGTTTCAAAGCAGAAAGCACATAATATTTTCAATTTCATTAACATTAAATACCACACTTAGCTGCAGCTTTGACTGTACTTTCCAAGTGTGTACAGAATATATGCTAAAGCAAGCTTTTGACTCTATTTTATGGTGACTTATGATTGCTAGCACTCCCCACAGTTTCAAGGACCAGTTGCTGGCATAAACTGAAGGAATTGCAGGATGGTTCTTAGTTTTAGGAACAATGGTTAGATTTTATTCTGGCAGCAAGAGAACTCAGCTCAGCACACACTTTATGTGGATGTTAGAAAAAATAAGCTATTGTAGAGGAACAATAAAAATACTCTCGATATACTTTCCAAAGATACAAAGCCCCTGGATGCTATTGCTGAAAAATACTACATTATCTTTGTACTCCTAGTACATCTCATATGTGATTAAGTTGGCCCAATATGCTATCTTCACATTAAAATAATGCATTTTTTAAATTTCACACTAAAAATTGTCTATTCCATGTTCTAGATAGTCTAGTGATTCAAGTGCCACAGTGCATTTTGCAAAAGAACTTCAGTGGGTTCCACAGGTTTTTCCACAATCAGAACAATTAGGTTTATATGATAATACTTACATTCACTCTGGGAACCCCTTCTTCTGCTCCTCTCATGCTTTGATTTATGCAGTTTGTACAGAGAGCAGATGAACTTTACAGGCTGCAGTGAACAGTAGTTGGTTGTGGCTTTTGCTGAACAGGATGTGGAAGGAGTGATTCCCAAACATGAAGAGACATTGTGGCCCATTTAGGCCAAGATTAACACAATTTAATCCTTCCTCCTATCCTATCCATTTTAGTGGTTCATGGAAAAAGAATACATTTCCCAGTCAATTTAGGGACTTTGCTCACAACCTTAATTTGGTTTGGTAGCTGAAATATGAAGATTAGAAATGGAGATTTAAGGGCATTTGCTAGTTGCTAAAAGATATGTTTTCCCAATTGGTTAAGAAATATTGCTTTAGAATATTATCTCCTGTGAGAGACACTAGATCTAGGAGAATGGAATCTCTGATGTAGACAAAACTAGATCTTGTCCTAGTAGTATTAAAATTGTCTTTTCAGTGAAGATTTGTAAGTGAAGATGGTACAGATATTCAATCAACTGTGGACACTACTGAGAAAAAATTATTTCATTAAGTTAGTAGTTAGACCAATGTAAGAAAACATACAGACTTTGCATATAAGTAAGTCATCATTCCCTCCCTAAAATGCATTAATTTTTAAAAATGTCCTTTGTCCTTTATAGCAAACAGTAGAGGTCTACACAGCAGAATGAACTGCCTTGCAGACATTTTCTTCATTTATCTCTGACTGCCTGGTTTCGTGTATGGAGCAGCAGAATCAGTATTCTATTTGGGATGATTATACCTTATTGGAACTGGAGTACAAGGAATGAAGAAATGACAAATCTATTTTTCTAATAATGGCACAATATGCACAGTAATGTATATACCTAAGGCCCATGACTTCCATATTTCCCACCCTATCACTGTGATGAGATTTATTGTCAGATATTCTACTGGGTCACAAACCTCTTATGACCGTGCTAACACTAAACTTGAAGTCAGCAGATTTATTAATTTATTAAATTATTTGTCCACATGTGAATATATTAAAAAAAAATAATAAGGTTTTGAACTTTCCTGGGATTTCCAGGAGAGATACATGGCTTTGCAGAAGGTGTGACATCTGCTTACAAACTCTGGAGCAGCTTCATGCCCTGCTAGATAGATGGATTTGAATCACAGTGAAGGGTAAATTACAATGATGAGGCAATGTTGGAGGAACCAAAAGAAATCATTGTAGACAGGAAAAGTTTCTAAGAATGAAAAGCAATTAGCTAACAGAGTGAATACAATTAATTATCTTTTCAGTTTCTAAAACCGGCTCAGAGTTGGGCCAAGCTTTGACCTTTCCTTTACCTGAACCAGATTGTACAGTGTAAAAGGAGAACATATTGGCAAACCTGCTTTATAACAATCCTAATAAATGATGGCCGAATTTTACATATATCTAGGGAAGAATTCTAGTGCCAGCTTGAACACCTTTTAGGAAGTGTAATTCAGGGATGCGTGCTAGAGCAGTGCTTAGCTAAAAGATCTTGCTGCACAGTGTCTTATATCTGGTCAGTTCCCAGAAATGTGAAGATGTATTAATCGTATGGTTTTCAAGATGCCAAATAATATGAACATTAATTCAGAAGTATATCACTTTCTAATAGCTTGCCAAAAAAACCAGACTCTTGTTGCTAATATTAGCTGAGCCTAGTGGACTGAAGGACCTGGAGGATGTCAGCAGCTACACCTCCAGCTAGACAAGTTTACTGACCAGCAGCAGGTTCATTCACACCAGCCCCTTTGTCCCTTTTCTCTCTCTTTTCCCATGCTTGTTAAACCACAGTACACTTGGATCCTTCCCTTTCTCCACCTATGGCCTTTGGCCTTCGCTCTTGATGACACCCTGTAGAAAATCTTTAGCAATCCCTAAATTCAGATTTAGGAATCTAAAAAAACCCGTTTTGATTTCTGAATCTGCTAGTCTAATGAGTTCTAATGATGCATTGTGACACTTTATTTTAAAACTTAGAATTTTTATGTTCATTAGTCAGTTCGTTCTTACATTGTTTTGTAATATTAGAAACTGCACTTCTTTACTGGCTGAACTCTGAACTGAATTAAAATAATATGCTTGAACATAAGCAGAATTTGCCAGCATTTTGCAGTCCATGTTAGTTGCCTGCTGCCACGGATTTGGTAGCTTAGCTCATGGCGCATGGAAGTGTTCTCCTATATTAGTTTGATGTGTCAGCAGCATATATTTTTATTATATTCTGATGGTCTTCGGAAGCTGTTGGTGGGTTTTTTAAAATCATTTTATATCACTAATATTACAGAATCTTAGTCAAACAGTTGTTCTTCTCTTTTATAATGACACCAAAGTGCTGGTTTGCCTCTGTGCAACTTTGCAGTCTTTTAAGTGTTTCTTTTGTAGTAAATTGTAGACATACCTGTGTGAACATGTAGAGTGTGTCTTACAGGCTGTCTGGCTGAAAAAGTACAGAGTAATTGAAAGAGATCAGAAGACTATTGCATCTGATTGTTGACAGTTCATTGAACCGTAGCAGGCTTCATGTTTAAAACCAAAACCAAGATGACTTAATGCTTCTGTCTAATATTTTTGGGGAGTGGGAGGAAAGTAAGAGTATATACTGAACAGATATGCATATATCTACTGTATGTATCAAATGCTATAGATACAAATACTTTACAAATAATTTACAAATACTAGTGCCTCAGGTGTGTGACTAGTCTTTCCTCCTGCTTCAATAATACTTTGGTTAGGTGTACATGCCTGCTGGAGTGTTCTGCTTTGGTCCAAAGTGGCATTGCTTTACTCAGCTGTGAGTATTTAGACTTGAAAGAGCAATTCCAAAGTTGTATTGTTGCCTCTCAACTGAGTTGCCAGAACAACTCACTTTTAGGGAACTGCATCACTAAGAATCAGGCATGAATTTGTTTACTAGCGCATCTAGGCATTTTCCTGTAGTACTTTGTGGCTAAAGAATTAAAAGTGGTCACTATTAGGACTTCGTTATTGATATGCAATTTCAAGGTGTTCATAAAGAAATAGCTATGTGCCAGCCGAAAGGAGCTCTTAGCCATGATATTTGTCATTCCAGTCTTAATAAGGAGGGCTGGGAAGTAATAGGTTCAAACAAGTGAGTTTATTATGTTAGTCTTACAGTAGCGGCTCTTCAAGAATGTGTTAAGCAGCAAGGAACTACTAAGACTTTTCATAGTAAATTTGTAAATGTATTTCAAACTGAACTTGTTAAAGTTTGCATTGTTCTGTTGGGATCCTTCAGTTATGACATCCTGGATTGTTACAAGTTGAGAGGCAGACAGATCTGTATCTTGCATCTGTATAGTATGTATCTCTGTTTTACTGATGTATATTAAAACAATTTCTGGGTGCAGATGCTGTATTCATGGATCTGTGTCCAGATATTTGAAAATTAACCTTAATTATGTAATTATAATTTTTTAAAATTAAGCATAGTTCATACAAAATGAGAAGTATTCAGCTGTGAACAGGATTGTCTGTACTCTGTGATTTGTTTTGTATTTACTTGAAGTCATAATTTTGTTTTAGAAATGCACTTCTCTTTTGAAATATATTTCAGTGTAAATAGTTCATACATACTATGAATCATAATGACACACAGTCAGAAACCCATATTTTTATGAGTCTTATGGTCACCCTTCTTATTAGATCTTATCTCAGCAATTTAATTTACCCCCTAAGCATTAAGATGGAATAGCACAAGATAAATTATGGTTTTATTTAGGTTTCTGTATTTCACAGAATTTTCTTTTTCTCCTCCTATGTTACTCATGTCTCCCCAAGATTTCCACTTATGAACATGGAGCTGTAGAGTGGATTATGTATGTATAGGCATCATAAAGGAACTCAGATGATCATAGAGTTCTTGCAACTTGATGGAGTTTAATGCATGAGTAGGGCAAAGTTCTGAGTCCCTGAAAATTAATTGAGTTGTAGTAGCATCAGATTATTTCCATATTATGATGATGACTGATACGTACATTTCTCAGCAGAATGACTGAATCAGTGTGAAAACTCAGTGGCCTTCTGAACTTAGTAAGAGAAATGTTAAATTGCAGTGGAAGGCTAAGAAAGAACTCCTATTTCTAAACCTGAAATGAGATTATATGGATCATTATATGATATTAAGCAAGCTGTCCACCTTTCCCTAGGTATAGAATGTATCTCTGTGTAGAACAAAAGCATTTCAAGGTCTGTGTTTGTCAGTCTGTGCATAATACTTTGATAATGAGCATCAAACTGATACACTTAAGTTGAACTACGGTTGCTGTACTTTTAACACCTGTATTGTAGTGATTCTGTTCAGGAATGGCAAACCGTATTTCTAAATTAAGATGTATTTTTCATTCAGAATAGAATTTTAGTGTAAGTCAGGTATTGAATGTATTCTTCTGATAATTTCAAATTCTGATTTCAGTTACAATGATCATAATATAGTCTTAAATTCAGTGGTTCTAAACCAGACAAGTGGTACTTTTTTAAACATTCTGTTCTATAGCAGAGCTCTCTCAACATCTTTTCTCAGCCTGTTTTCCTAAATACTTCTTATAGATTGTGGTATCAGAAGAACTTAAGTTCTCTGGAAAATCAGAATGTGTTGTATTCTCTATTAAGGCAACATTTGCTATATCTACAAAGAAGCTTAATGAACAGCACCAACTCAAAATATTTCCACTGAGAGCACTGTGTAACAGAACAAAATCACCTGTTAGAACTAATGATTCCTGATAAATACCAGGTTTTGTAGCTTTGAGATGTGCAGAGAGAAATTTAGAGTTCTTGTTAACACTTTTTTTTGACAGGTAGTCTATTTCTATACTGCTACACATGTCATTTCGTACTTCAGCCAGAATGAATTTTTCCAGTGATGGAGTAGAGCAAAACTATCTGTTTCAAACCTTTTGAATGACTCCCTTTCAGCATCATCATTTTGTTGATGAAAACATAATTTTTTGCTGTTTGGAAGACTGACTTTTTAGTTCATGAGTTTTCAAGGTGATGCTTGAAACTAATTTTGTTGAAGTTAAGTGTCTGCAATACTTTAAGAGAGTTACAACAGTCTCACTAGAGGTCATGAATGCACAGCAGAAAATTGGGATTAAAGTACAGGGAAAACAAATTATTTTAGTGTCACTTATTTCTGGTTTTAGGTCTCAATGCAAAAAAAAGTCCATATGACTGCACAGACCCTAGAAGATCTGTGTGCTACTCTAAATATTAAAAAAAGATTTTTTGTAAATGAACAGATATTTGCACTTTGGGGTTGCTTTTTCTTTTTAACTAATTATTTTTTCCACACTACTTTAAGCAGCTATTTTCAGTGTTTTCTTAGTTACGTTTATATTGGGTGGAGTTGAAACCCATTTTTTAAAACATTAAACAATTAAAATAAACCCATAGTATGAATTTGCAGTGACTTAAATGCATGCCTCTTTGGGAGCTTCTATGACTTTTTTTCTCTTGTTGCAGTTCGGTGAGAATAGAGCTTGGTTTAAAATAATTGAGAAGGACAGAAATCACTGACATCTGATGTCAAGAATAAGGGAAAATCTTCTTTCTGAAGATAAATTTCCCAAACTAAAGTCTTCATCTTAGCACTATTTCAGTCAAAGCATTTAATATTTTAAGCTGCAAGATTAAGTTATCTGCCTTTCACTGCCAGAAACATGAATATACCTGCACTTGTGGCCTCCTACCATGTGTGCTTGTGTCATCCAAGCTGCATCAGATGTCTCTCAAATGTGTTAGAGTTTGTGTAAAACTTGTTTTTCTTAATTTCATTAAAAGAATTGTCAAATCTTTTGTGCATGCTTGTATTATTTTTCCAAATGGCTAGAAAGTTTCTGAATGATTGGTGAATAAACTTTATAGCAAACATGCTGAAGCATCACAAAGATTGGATAATGTGTCAAGCATTCACTGAACATTGGAGTTCTTCTTTTGAATTGTATGTTAATCCCTTCTTAAATTAATAGCATATCTGTAATAATTGCTGCTTTCTTCGTTTACAGATGCAGAGCCACGGTATTTGGTTTCAGTAAGACCAGCACGTGTTTCAAATAACAAGAAATCTTGTTCAGGTATTTTACCATTATTGCATCTCTTTCTTAAAGTAGATAAAGGAAGACAGAACTTTTTATTGGGTTTCTCTGAAAGGATATTTGTAACTGTAGGTGTCTGACTGGGATGCACAAGTTGCATTTATGGGAAGGTAAAATGTAGGACAGTATTTCCGAGTCAGTAATTAATCACACATGTGGTGTTCAAAACATGAAAAAGTATCTAAAAATTGTTATTGTTAAAAGTTCTTCTTGAAACTTAGAATGGTAATTCTAATTCTTGAAACTTAGAATACTAATTTCTGATGTTTAAAGAGGTCACAAGAGCATGAAAAAAAAAAAGTTTTGAAATAAAATGACCTGGTGTATGGAGATTATTCTTCCCAAACTACCACTAATACTAATTTTAATTGTGTTACTTCATTCAGAGTGAAGTTAAGTATTGTGCAAAAGCTGAACATGTTGAATGTAGTAGGTGGTAAAAAGAGAAAAATGCCCCTAGATACAGATACAGACACAGACTCAGACTCAGACTCAGATCTGCCTACAGTTTAAACCAGCAGAATTTTTGTACTTTTGATGAAGAATTATATTTTTGATGAAGAATGCTGTAGAAAGTAATTATCTACAGACATAATTGCAGTGTTACTAAGAATCCTGTAAAGAAATTACTATTTCTGTCACAAGCAAAGAGAATCTTCCTAATGTAACACCTTCTGTGAAGCAGTCCAAGAGAGACAGAGCTTTGAAGTTCATCTGTGTATAGCTTGTTCTCATACTATGCATACCAAAACCACCCTTTATAAAAAACTAGGTTTAACTGGAACATAGGCTGAAAAAAAGGAGAAATGGAGAAAACTTCTAATAATACAAATTAGAAACAAATTTTAGTAAACAAATCTTCCTAACTACCAAGTAATAGCAAGAATTCCTTTATTTTTGCCCTGGATCTGCAAGTCTGGAAGTGAACTCTTTCAGTTTATTCCTGGGTTGAAACCTATGCTGTGCAATTCCAGAGGGGACCTAAAAAATTCAGTCATTCTGAGGCTTGTGTGTCTGATACCTGCTTTCTAAAGCAGTCTTCTAATCTGTGCTCCTGCCACCTGTATCCTCCCTTTCTTTATGCCAACTTGGTTCTGCACTTCTTTCCTCTTGTTCATGCTCAATTGGCTTCAGAGAAGGAGCAGTCTCCCTTCCTTGAAGATGTTTCATTTGCCTCAACAAGAAGCCAACACACAGATCACAGAAACCGTCTTTGCTCCCTTTTTAAAATCATACATTAGGAACTGTGACCACAGTAAAGGGAGAGAACTGTTGTACTTTTCCCTTCAAATTTAGAAGATAAGTAGGTTTTCATTTCTTTTATTATCTAACTGCAAAAACTTTCCGCTACATAATACAGGAAGGAGAAAATAACTTGTAATTGGAATGATATGTTTCTTATGTAGGTCGGACCAAGACTCAAAAGCCTCTGCAGCTGGTAGTTGGCACTCTTACACCAACCTCTGTGTTCCTGTCTTGGGGCATCCTAGTCAACCCTCAACATGACTGGACAGCAACAAGTAACTGTGCTAGTGACAGGTAACAGAACAGAAAACTGTTTTTATGATGATCATTATTTAATCCAGTATAGTTATTTGGTATGACTGAAATAAGTTTTACAGTGGAAATTAAAATGTTAGATCAATAGTTCTGAATGTAAAGTAAGTTTTCTCATTTACTTGAATCAGTGCTTTGCAAAACTTTACTTGAGTACAAATTTAGTCACACATTTACATGCTGAAGTACAAATCTTGTTATTTCACACTAGATCATTTGTTCTTAAAGCAATGGTGTTGGCTCTACCTTCATTTGTATCTGAATGAATTGAAAGAAACTTTGTTAAATCATAGGAAATATATTGGTTTAAAGTTGGTCAAATAGGAGTAAAATAAGACTTTCACTGTGCTGTGATACAGGAATGATGTCTTGTTTTAATGCTATTTGATTTTTGTTTCCTATATTTGGTCTTACCACTGCAATGCTTTCCTGATATTGATACTGTACAACTTTCATTACATTTCTGTTGTAAGTAAAAGAAGGTCCTTTCTACTACAACTTTTTTCTTTTACTATAAATATTTAACGAGTGCTACAGCAGGTGGGAAGCTCAGGAAGAGTCACCAGGTAGCAGTTTCAAAAGAAGTCATAGAGCTGCGTAGCTTCTCATTTAAGAGCACTATTACACTTTAGGTGGCTCTTGGCAGATGACTAAAATTCATCTGCTATAATTATTGAAAAGGTTAGTACAGATGTTTTCCCTGCCCTTTCATTTCAGTATTCTCTTTATATTTTTTTTATGACAGAAGAATTTTTTTGTCTTCATTTACATCCTATGAAGCTCCATTCAACTCAGCAATATTTTGTAAAACCAAGAAGAAACTTTGAGCATCCATGTTTGGGATGCATCTACATCTGGTTTGCAACTATTATCTTTTGGTTTTTTTAAAATGCATCTTGCATTAAACATTGAGAACACCTTTTTTCCCCATCTGTCTGATTTTTTTCTAATTTGTAGCTAATTTAGACATGAATCTGCTTACGTTGGTGTTGATAATAAAACTTCAATTGATATTGTTAAACTGATGTTAAACAGACTATGTTAAAAATCTCATTCCATGTAGCTGATATGACCTTTTTCTTGCCTTCCAAAAGTTTTGGACTAACCTTCTTCAAGCTTCAAAATTTTCTCATGAACAAATTTGAATCTTCATCACCAACCAGAATTTCAAACACTGTTAAAAAAACCGGAAATTTTTATGGAATTTTACAAAATAGTCAAGCATGTAATTTAATAGATTTTTTTCTTTTTTTTTAGTATAAATAAAAGTTAGTTTAGGGTTAAATTTTGATCTCTTAATCAAGAAAGAAGCAAATAATTTCCTATAGTTAGAAATAAAAGAAACCAGCTCATCATGGAGGAGCTTGTTAAGAGTTCTGCCCATATAATAATTTTAGCACCGTTTTTACTATTGAACCTATCTTCTCTATGTGCTGTGTCAGCACCAAAGTTACAGCACCCATTGTGCAGTGGAAATGAAGAATACTTTAAAAGCAGCCTATTTACCTGAAGATTAAAGGCATAAAGTATATTGTACCTACCACAATGCCTTCATCAGCTTTGTATTGTCTCTTCCTGTTCAACATGCATTGACTCAAAGTTTGAACAAACTCTTTAACATAGTAAGTAATGTTTTACACTCAGTGCAGTGCTACTGGTATCTTGCTATGTTTAGAATATATTCTATATGTTTGTTATGGCTGTGTGAGAGACTTGCTTTTACCATGTCGTTGTGTCAAGTATTGGTGTGCATCTCCCAAAATTCTGGTTCTTTAGTTAAGTGTTTTTTACTGATTCCTTTCAGGTATTTACTTTTAACATGCCTTCCATTTTAGTGACATGTTGTTAGGCTGTACCAAAGTACTAGCTATGTATTTCCCTTTCACCACATAAGAGGACTTGCCTATAAGAGCTGTATTGTTGATTTTGTTTGAATATCTCCCTGTATTTCAACTCTAAAGATACCCTGACACTCATGAGTAGCTAGTTTAAAAACATGCCAATCAAATTACAAATGGTCTTATCGAAGCATGGGCATATACCTATAAGCAGATTTCTATTTCACAATCAAGCATAGCAATAAAATTAATGAAGAAATCAAAAGATCACTTAAGTGTTGCTCTTATTTTGTTCACTTTTATTGAACAAAATTCCCTGTGATTAGTATAAAGGATGAGAACAGTTCTCCACAAGACTATGGTGTGTATTTCTATAATTCCAAGTAGATATTGGATTCAAATATATTTCTAATCAGTATATAGAAGAAAAAATATTAATTGTTAGAAGTACAAGACTTAAAATCACATAATGGATTCATCATTTGTATCTATTGCAGGGGCAGTCTGCTTCACTTACTTGATCCTTTTTCATCTGGCATGTTCTCCTTATTGTGACATGTTGAAATGTACTGTTAGTCGTCTTCAAGATTGTTGTAACCTCTGATCTTTGACATTGGCAATATGTAACAGTTATGACCTCTTTTTTTATGACTCAGTTTTTTCAGTTAATATCCCACCAAGTTTTAAATTTGTAACTCTGTATGACCTGAAATGGAGCCATGGTGTTCAGCCTCATTTTTTAACATCTCTGAATAGACATTAGGCTTTTGTACAACTGTTGCATAATATGTTAGTTGAATATGTTACTGACTCAGAATATGAAAACCATATGGAACAGTATGCATCTGTTGGTCATCATTTTCTGTAATGTGAGTGTGATCTCAGTGGGATATTCCTTAGAAGATCCAGATTTTTGAGCAAACGAGTTTTGAATAAGAGATGCCATGTCCTCAAAGAGTATTGATATATTTTATTTTAAGTTATTGCTTACTTATTGAGGGCACATAGTGTTCTGTACCTACAAAGTGTTTTTTAAGAAACTCCAATGAAGAAAAAGTTCCTGTGCCATTTCTCAACAAATCATTCTTTCGTTGCTTAACTCTCTAGATATTAAGGGCATAAGCAAAGAGAGTGCTACATATTTCCTGCAAGATAACCCCAAACCCTAATTTCTCATGGAAACAAAGACAATCATTGCCATTCATGTAGACCAAAGTTCTTTGCAAGGTCAAATTTTAAAGCCTCCTTCAAGTGGCTATGATCTCTGATCAAAGTCTTAGCACTAGAATGCAAAACAAAGCAACACAATAAGACCCAAACCAGAAAAACTCAAGCAATCAGTTTTATGTAACTGATGAAAACTGTATAACACTAGAAAGGTTCCACCAGCAATGTGGAGTTCGCTTTCTCAGCATCTTCTGTTTTCTGACATCAGTATGAGGTAGTTGATGGGGGAGGATGGCAGACTCACGGCAACCTGCTAAACAGTTACATTCGGTTCCTCTTTTTATATTTCTAAGAGAGTAGAGAGACTTGTTTCCTCTCTCCCTTTCAGTGTTCAAACAACCATTAGCGGACAAAACTGTCATAATAAACATACTTGCGCTATATTTACTGTCCATTTATGTCTGAAAAAGAGAGTATAGACTGTTGTATAGACTTTTTTGGCCTTTTGTTTGGTTAGAACTACTCCACAGATTCCAAAACAGAGCAGTGGGTCAAAAAAGGTGGTTTGACTTCCAGTTCTTTAGGAGGGGGAGTTGGGGGTAGTAGCAGAAAATATTTTCTCCACACAAGGCAAAACCAGGATTTGTACATAGAATACTATATTTTACTACAGTGAGTGGATTTTATAGAAAGACAAACATGCTTTCAGATGCATGTGAAATAGAAATTTAAAACCTGAAAGTTTTTCATTAAATGAAAATTTTCATTAAATATATGTAAGTTAAGAACTTTGACAAATTCACACTTATATTGTTTAAATTTGTTTGCCCATTATTTAAATACCTTAATGTCATATTTGCAAGTAGTACAGATGTTGTGTTTTACAAAGAATACATACTTACTCTTTATGTTGTATGTCACATAGAATAAGGGTTTTAAAACCCTAAATTCAGTAAGATGTGTGTATGCAGCTCCTTTTGTATGCATCTACAAATCTTTCTCACTATGCAGCTGCAAACTTAAGCATACATTGTGTTACCAATGTCATAGAAAATGCATTTAAAATTTAGCAAAATTCCTTAAGGAGAACAAACTGCAGCAAATAAACTTTTTGAGTTTCAGATGCTTTGAGTTACCACTGAGGAAGTATATGATGAAAGCTTGTTTAAACATGGAAAGATCTGGTGGTGGTGGTGAGCCTCTTGTTCTTCAGAACCTCTAACTCTTAAATTTATTTCAGTTGTTCTTCTAAAATAATTAAGTAGAAAAAGTGAATGTTAGTGATCATGTTAAAGCAAAAACTAAATTAGAAAGTGCTTTGCAAACAAAACTGGTAGCCATCAGCAATGTAATTCTTTCCATCTTTTTTTATATTTCAGTGTCTGTTACTTTAAAGTAAACTGGGCAGTAAAAAGGAAATAATATAATCAACATCATGTGCCAATTTGTGAAACACTGAGTATCTGAACCAGTAGTTCAAACTATATATTTTATTAATTTCTAATACTAAATGGATGATGTGCTTCTAATGAAGTCTAACTATAAACAAATAAATAAATATATGTATATGTTAATAATTTTTTTTGAAGTCTGATTACTGTTCTATGCACAAAATAATCTTTTATCTATAGCAACATGAAATCACAGAATAGGAATGTTCTTATATGTCCAAGCTTAATTGTTTGTTTAGTGTTATGTGTGACTAAAATAGTTATGATTAAATTGTTTGGAGTTTTGGTTTGGATCTGGTTCTAAATAGACCCATGATATTTATACAAACTGACCTAAAACCATCTGCCTTGCAAGATTTCCAGCATCTAATAATTTGTGCCCAAATAATTGACTGTGCAAGCATTTTCTGAGAATCTGGCTGAAAAGAGATTTGATTAACAATTGAAATAATATCACTGGAATTCTTGGCAAGACAGTGTCATTCATATATGAAAACTTAATGTTTTACCTATCCCTCCTAGAATT